CCCCAAAACCCCAAAACCCCAAAACCCCAAAACCCCAAAACCCCTTTTACTTAAACTATTACAGAAAATATTCATATTAATTACTCCATCCTAAAAGGTCATCGTCATTTTTCTTCACTGGCTTTGTGCTCACCATGCCTCCTCCTAATGGGTCGTACCCATTTTCAATGTTCTCAAAGGCCGATTCTCCAGTATTGCCCCTATCCAGGTCTTCATAATAGTTATCAGCACTCTCTTGATAATTCTCCTGGTAATTCTCCTGATAATTTTCCTCCTGCACAAATTTCTCATACCCATTTGTCTTGAATTTTGCGTCCTCATCATCAACAAATTTCCTTGGTGCTACCTTAACTTCTTCAGAGGCTTCCGGAGCTTCCTCTTTAATCCACTGTTTCGGAACTTGCCATACGCTGAGGACTTTGTCTTTCGAGACTGTCATTAAATATCTGCTTTTCTCGAACCATTGCATCTTTGTGATTGGATATTCATGTGCCTCGTGGACATAGACTCATTTAGAATTCTCAATGTCCCAGATATAAACCTTGCCAGTATCGTTTCCTGCAAATACTTCTCGGTTTTGGTTGGTCCATACCATATATCTGATTTTTGAAACTCCCTTGATTGAACCTATTTGTTTTGCAAAGCGCTCTTTTCCAACAGGACCAAGATCAAATGTATTAATATTCCCACTTGTATCACCAGTGAACAGATATTTGAGGTCGTTATCGATACACATTCCTCTAATTCATGAAGAGGATTCAGTAGAGATTGTGCCGACTACTTCTGGAGGGTAATTAATATAACTCATTATGTGTACATTTCCTTTACCATCACCTATGAACAGTCTCTTGTAGTATTTATCATGAATTAGCTGCTTCAGCCCTCCTTTCCCGACATACTCCTCATGCACTGGTTCTTCAGTTGTTGGATCACTACACTTGAATTTGCCATCCTCTGAAATTGAGAGGAGGTAGCCATTCTCTGAATCGTAAGCAAGCCCCATGACTCTCTTAGAGTGTGCTTTTATCTCAACGTCCTGACTTAGGGATATTCCTTTATTAATGATTGAAAACCCGTATATTACTCCGTCATCCATTCCTAAAAACAGCATTTCTTTTTCTGGAACCCAAAGAAGGATGTTTGTCTGAACGGAGAAATTCTTGGCCCAGAGTCTTGTGAATACCCACTCGCCGCTGCTTTCTCTAAGGCCGACTCTGTAGAAGATCAATGCTCCAACTGTGGAATAAGTATCATCCTTTTTCTTCTCCCAAGGGAGGTTTAGGTTTGTTAAATAAGAATCAAGCCTTGATGTTATCTTCATCTCTGATAAGGCAAAGAACAACAGGCCCTTATCATTAATATAATGAAAGTCTCTAATTCCCAAAGGAAGTTCATCAAGCTGTGCTACCTTTATGGGTGAATAGCACATTGTGCTGGAATTATGTAAATCTAATTCGAAGAAGTCCCTAAAGAAGGGATCTGTCCTCAAGTCACTTCTCACTGCTAGCCCTCTAATATACTCTTGTAGGTCCTTTCTCCTTTGCTCGCATGCTTCATCATTGAGCTTGAAAAATCCTTTTCCTGGAAATCTTGGTAGATTTGCATACTTTTTGCTCAGCATGAGGTTCAAATCATCATACTGGCTATACCTTTTCTCAATCTGCCAGATCTGTTTGCCCATCTGGACCACAATTTGATAGAATACGACTATTTTACCGACCACTTTTTCGGTGAATTTAGGGATCGTAAAATGAATCGGAATCAGAGTTGAATCTCTTTTTTCCATAATCAATTATTTATTAAAAAGATGGGGTTTTGGGGTTTTGGGGTTTTGGGGTTTTGGGG